TGCAATGGAAGGTCGGGTTTTTTCTACGAAAGGAAGGCCTAAGCTACCAGGATCCTCTAAACTAGTAGCGAGGCTCATCTTCCATGCTTCCTGTCAGTCGTTACGTTGGTTCAATCCTGCGTTGAAAGGAGGGCACCCGCCCCCCACCACTGTCCTTTACACAGTAGTTAGATACGTAGTAGGGGGAAGGGGGGCTTGCTTGCTTGCTTTACAGCCTCGATCCCAAAAACTTTAGTTCGGCCGGGACTAGACTAAACCTACCGAGCAGCGCGCCCCAGGACCCAAGACTAAGGATGATGATGGACGCCTTTCCAGCAGGGCAAAAGTTGAATCGGGGTCTTGGGGGGTCTTGGCCGGTGACCTGGGGAGTTTGTCATCGCCTCAATGTCAACTGATAGGCAGGAAGGAAGATGAAGAAAGGTATCTCTCTGCAGGTTTTCTGAAGGTTGTACTTATTGTCCATACCCCCGCCTCCCCCCCCCTAGTCCCGCGGGTCGGATACTGCATGGCTTATCCTGCACCGTTACACAGGGTCTTGCTCGGCAAAAGAGCAGGCATGGCTGACTGGCAACCCCTGGACACAACCACCACCCCCCCCCGGGCGCGGCCAATCACCGAAATGAAATCCTGCAGATTGGAATTTCATCTGGCGCTTTGGTCGGCTGTCATGGCCAGATTCAGAGTCCTGCTGATGACGTCCTGATTGTAAAGTAAGTCAAGTTGTGCGCCCGTAAGGTATGGATGGATAGGAGTCGAGCTTGTGAAAGATCGCATCCCAAAGTCTTTTTGGGACATCATGAAACTGTCGGCTACCTATCAACGCAGTTCAACGCACTTGAGTCATGAGTCTCCTTCGGTGCCCATTTAGATCATGGTAACCGCGACAGGGTGGTGACTGTGATGACCCGCTGCAAGTATCGAATACCCACCCTGGTAAGGGGAAATAATCTCCCAACTGCTATCAGAGGCGCCAGAGGGATATCTACTAGCGACCGGTGCCTCCACCCTAGCGTTCATTAAGGTTGTGACTTGGCCGTGGCCGTGAATAGTCCTTTAGGTAATCTAATTTTTATTTTTTTCACTTTTATTTTTCTTCTATTTTTTGACTGTGTTTGGTCACCCCTCCGGAGAGCAAACGGGGAGAAAGGAAGAGGGGTTGTTGGGTCACCTTTTTCAGGCACCATGAACGGTGCGCTCAGATCGCCCTGCAAGGCAAACTACTCGGTGTATAACTAGTATGTGTCAAGTGCAAGCGACCACTAGTTGCTCAGTACTTTACCTGTCTTGGCGCCGGGTGGACGGACACTTTGACGAAAGTTGACATCTCCACGAGAGGCTAAGTCAAGTAGATAAGTTAGCCAAGTAACTATAGGAAATGAGGAGAGAGAGAGAGGAGATGAGGGGGGGGTAAGATTGAATGACGAGCAAGGAAAAAAGCAACAATCACCTCAACCACCCCCCTAATTGGTATGAAAATAAAGGGGGGAAATAGAATTTACGGGCTACCCAATCAGCAGCACATCGCTTATGGCAGACGACTACTTTGGAACTAAAGTAAACTAAACTACTGCCTGTCAAAAACTCACAGACCCTGGTTATTTCTTGGTAATTCCGATTGAAGAGATGGAGGATCCTGGCTTTGCAATCCGCAGCATGGCCATTTGTCGAAGTTTAGACCCGAGCAAGTCAAGTGCCGTTCCGTTTATAAATCGTGGCAGCGATCCCAGCACGGGCGGAACGACTTAGCTTCAGTCGCTACTATAACGATCATCCTGGATGGCCTAATGTGGTAGGATCGGTGGTCCATCGATCACCTTATTCGATGGTTCGCCGATTAGCACCCTTACCGGTACGTAGTACGTTAGCCAACGTGAACAGAGGAAAAAAAGGCGGCTGACTCTGTTCGAGCGGGTCTGATTAGGCTTATTGCAGTCCGCGGGGGGGTGGGCATGATGATCTGTCCGTTAGGCAGAGAGAGGGAGCGAGAGGGAAAAAAAAAAAAAAAGGAAAAAGAAAAAGAAACGGACGGGCTACGTAGGTACCAGGCAGAAGGGGAGGTATTGTAGGTACTAGACCAGGCCATAGTCCATGTTGCCTACAGATCTTACTTGCGCACTGATGGTCCATCTCCTAAAGTGGTCCTCACAACGAGGGAAGCCTGGCCGGCCGATCCAAGAAAGTACCGCTCTCAATGGAAGGTACTTGCAGCCGATCTGAATGATGATAGACGGACCAACTCCACCGCAAGTGACAGGCTGTCAGTCCCAACCGTGTGTCATTTGTGTTTCTTGTATCAAATGCACAGCCCAATGGTGAACCAACAATGTGATTTAAGCCCAGCCCAGAAAAAAAACAGAGAGAGAGAGAGTGTGTAAGTTCCTTCGGCCCAAGTCTAAAGGGAGGAAGAACCATAGAACAAGCAGACGCCGCTGGCTTGGTATGGGGAAGTGCTCTCCACCAATATCAAGAATGGAAATCGGAAAGGCAGAGCGCTTCGGAACCACACTTGTATCCCGCCAGAGTTTGGGTTGAGGATTCCGCAGACCCCGTCCAGACACCTGGACTCTAGACGACCCCCGGGGTTGTCTACTAACTTACCAATCTCTCTCTCTCTCCTTGTTTCTGTGTCTCCGCTGCGCCCAAGCCTTGGGGAGGAATGGGAGGTGGGAAAGAGGGAAAGCATTCCTCAGACCCTGACCGCCACCACCATCTCTGGGGCTAGAAGGGCTATGGCATGATTCTGGGTTTGGGGCGTAGAGATGATATTATTTTCTTTTTTCTTTTAATTTTTGGGGATGGGAGAGAGAGTGAGAGGGGATGACATTGCTTCTTCTGATGACGAAGGGCGTTTGAGTTTCTGGTTCCATCGATTTGAAAGCAGTGGATTGGCGATGAACTCCAGATTGTTGCGGCTTAGACCTGACGAGGAGGAGGGCCTTCCTCCTCGGAGGCTTGTGAATCCCGTCCCGCCCACTGGAAAGGAAAAAGTGGAGGGATCACCTTGAAAGAGGGGAGATGCTCATACTACCGACAGGACTTGAAACGGACAAGCCAGTAGTAGAGGGGACGGAACCAGGCCGAATCAGACGGGATGGAGCGAGGATCGATCAGCAAATTCCCACACCGGCCGTCAGTTCATCACCGGCAGAGTCAGCAGCACACTAAGTGAACTCACTGCTCCATACTGGATTTTGCTCGGCATACTAACTCAAGAAGGAGTGATTTCTGGCGTGTTTCATTTGGACGGATGGCCCAAGCACTTCCACTGGCGGTGATGCTGCCATGTGGCCGCCCCGTGCCCTCGTCTTCATTGGCCCTGGGGCTATTCTAGCAGCCAATGAGCAGCTAGAATACACATCTCAAAACAGAATGTGGATGCCAGCTGCCTCGCCTGCACTAAGCCTGTCTCGGCAGAAGAGGCTCAAGTCGTGCCAATGGAGAAATTCCCATCGCGAATAATCCGCAAAACAGTAATCTCAGCGAGCCTGAGATCCTTTCGCTGCTACTCAGGATGATTATGGTCGGTTCTTCACTTGGCCAGATGAAATCATCATTTCTCACACTCAGTCTCTCTCTCTCTCTCCCCTTCTCACCCGAGTCATTCAGACTAATCAATCCAGACACCATCCCCCCTGCCTGCAGCCATGGTCCGATCCTCCTGCTCCTCCTAACTTACCCTCCCCCATGTCGGGCTAGGCTCACTCGACGGATTCCATCCCCCCCCCCCCCCCCATCATGCTTTTTTTTTCTCTGGCTCGTCTGTTTCCCTGAGCATCCAGATCGGCCATCGTGGTGGTAGTAATTTCTTTTTCTCTCCTTCTCCGGCACTCCTCCGGTCATGACTGGCTGTGAGGACTGTCTGGAGATCAGCATCTGACCGGTCGTACCGTGGCGCTCAACATCTTGGCTTTCGCTAACCCCAGAGATTCCACCCTGACTGATTGTCTGGGTGTATCTTAATGATGATGATTATTTTTATTATTATTTTCGAATTGATAGTAGTGATTTTATTTTATTTTATTTTTTGGACTTATTCCCATTTGATCTCTAGGTTTCTTGGCCGTCTTGTCCCCTAGCAAGTAGTATTTCAGCATGATTTCCTTTTCTGCATTTTTTATTAATTATTTCTTTTCTCATCCCCTGAAATGCAAACGATCTCGTTATTTATTCTAGTTACTTAAGTAGTAATTTCTTTTTCTGTTTCCCTCTCTCTCTTATGATTACTCTTTTTTATTATTCGTCTTCCCTATAATTCCTTATTCTGGCATTCTCTTTAAATTACCAAATCCACCGTCGCGGTCCCTCGACCCGCAGCTGAAGGAGAGAAAATTGTGGCTGCAGCTCCTCTCGTCCTTTACCGGCCGGTTGGTCCTGACCTGTTGATTGTTCCCCAATCCTCCGCCTCTTCTTATACTACTTAATACCTGCTAGTATTGCTGCTGCTGCTGCTGGTCTTCCTTCAGTCCCCCCCGCCTGACGACCTTGCCTCTTTTTGTCTTTCTTCTTCTTCTCTATACTCCTTTTGGCTTGACGCAGGGACATCAGAGAAAAAGGAAAAGCAAAATCAAAAAGAATTACTTTTACTTACTTACCCTCCCACCGTTTTCTCGTATTCCCCACGTGTGTATCTCTGCTGCTCTTCACTGGGGCTGCGGCTCGAGGTTATTTTTGGACGCCGCATTTGCTGAGCCAACCGTGGGCTGTAATTTCTGGCCTTCCGATCAGATTGGGTTTATCATCTTCTGCTCTTACTTCTTATAATATCCCGGCCTGGCCCATCTCCGCATCTGGTCTCTCCCCTCCCCCCATCTTCCTTCTGTCAAACTATCACTATTCCTATTCCTCTTATTATTGATCCTCCTCCTTGCCTGAGACAGTTCCTGTGCTCAAGCTTTGACTCTTTGGTGACTGTTTCATCGCTCGTCTTCTACTTACCCCACCGCACCTCTCTGCTCTCTCCCTCGCTCGCTCCCGTTTCTTGTCTAGCCTTCATCGTCGCCATGGCTGGTCCCGGTGGTGGCCCTCCTCGCAAGAGCCACACCAAGTCTCGGTTCGGCTGCAAGACATGCAAGCGGCGGCACATCCGTTGTGACGAAACTTTCCCACAATGGTAGGTTTGTTTTTTGCCTTCTGCAAACTGCAGCTGTGTAGAATCGCTGCTGACCATCACAGCCGGAACTGCACCAAGCACAACTGTCGCTGCGACTACATGGATGTTGCCACGGTTCACGACGACGCATCCTCCATGCGCAACGTACCCGACCTGCTCATGTCCGCCGAAATCGAAATGGAGATCAAGAACTGGCAGTTCACAGGCGTCGCTCCGTTTGCTGAGCTGCTGCAGTTCCCGCGTACCTGCTGGACTAAGCTCTCGCTGACTGATCTGCGCCTGATTCATCACATTGTTGGCCTTTCTATCGATCTCCAGCGCCGGGGTCTCGCTAGCTGCACTATTTGGGCGCAGAAGATGCCTACGTGAGTGGTTGTTTGTTAAGCCGCAGCTTGGCAGAGTTACTGACGTTTGTATAGTTTTCTCGCTATTGCCATCGCTAATATTTTGTCATA